TAAAACTGCAAGCCTAAATATTTGAATTTCTTCCATAAGTCTTCAGAAAGACAGAACTTTGATGTTTTTAAAAAGTAAAGGTTATTTACTTTTGCTGCAGGCAAGAAATTATAATTTCTTTACTGATTCTGCCAAATGGTTCTATCATGCATTTTTTAATTTCATCAAAATAAGCCACTTGAAATTAAGGCTGTCCTCTGACTTCACAGTAACCAACATTTTGAAGGCTGGATCAACTTGGGGAACCTCTGTTGGGCTGCTCTAACCAAAACAACTCCTCCAAAATCAAAATGAACCACAGGGGAAGGGATTTTTACTTCCTTTCCTCATGCTTGGCAGTTGCTGGGGAAAATACAGGCTGCAGTTTTATTTTGTTCACAGAAGCAGAACAGGCAACTGGTGGTACACACGTGGTTTTGAAACTGAACAAACCAATTTCAACCCTAGTGGTTAACATGCTGAAGCCAAAARAGCTTTTTTAAGGTATAAAATGGACCCAAGACTTGGAGGTGAAGTACGATAAGGTGAAAGGAGGGGAAAATAGGGAGGAAAGGCTAGGGAAAGGTTATTTTTAAAAAAGCAAAATGAATTTGCAAAAGGAGAGGAGAAAATTCCCCAGCACTGGGGAATATATATATATATATATATATACACACACACATATATAATTTGGGTCTGATACGCAAGTTGGTGTTGTAGTTAGCCTAGCACACAAGACAGCTCAAGACAGGAGCCTCCCCTGAGCCGAGCGCGTGCAGGGAGGCCGCTGGGGAGCGGCGCCGCTCCTGGGGCCGCCGCCAACCCCCAGCACCATCCGCCTGCCCACGAGGGGCAGCGCTGACAGCAGCATCTCGTTCATCTTCATTTGTCCCATCGCATCCTGTCATTCACATGCAAATGGCATTTTTGAGGACACATCTTTTCTGCGCCCCGTGATAAGCGGAGGCGAAACTGTCAGGAGCCCCGGGATGCCACCCCGTACCTCAGACCGTAACTTCACTCAGCGCCTCGTGTTTTACATCACAGCTAATGCGTTTGACATTCAAATCTGACCCGGCGGGAGGGAAAACGCTCTCCTGCAGCTACCTGCATCTTCCTTCCTGTGCTGAAACATCCAGCGCCTTCCCTGARGAGCTGCCAGTCTCTCCCTTCCCTCAGTGTCCCCTTGCTAATGGAGATTGAAACAGTGCTTAAGAGGAAAAGGATAATCTGCACGGGCAGGCGCTGAGAGCAATTCATCCTGCTCACCCGAGAAGCAGGCCCAGCACTAAAAGATTAGGAAAACAGATTACCACAAAGAGGAAAAATACGACAATCAAACTAAAGAAAACCACACAGACAAAAAATTGACAAGCAGGCCTAGGTTTTATCCCGCAGAAATCTGCCAGGCTACACTGGGAAGCTTGTCCACATCTATGTCTGTAGGGAAGTGTGATGGCTCTTGTTAYGCTGAATGATACATGGGAAAACACAGACAAGTTTTGAACAATCAGCAACTCCATAAAATATTTTTATCTGTATATTAAGAAAAAAAACACTTCTGGGGGTACAAACCAGCAAAAGCGAAAATAATTTTTTCATTACTGCTCATCAAYTCTACTTCCAGACTAAAGAATCAAGCCCACCTATTGCATAAAAAGGAGGATGCTTTTTTAATTTTACTGAACATGTTTGCTTTTTTATCATTTTCCAAGAATGTTTAGAACATCTTGTTCCAGAACATCTTACTTCCCTTCTAATAGAAATCACGCTTTCTATATCGTATGTGGGATGTAAACAGGACATGCTGGCTTTGTTTTCTTAGAAAAAACAGAAACTATCCCCAAGTACTTCTAGCATCACCTGGATGAGAAGCAAAGTCAACAAAGTTTCCCATTAAAACACAGGACACGTTTAAAACCGAAATAATATTTCAATACTGTGATGATGTCTTAGAGAAATTACCTTATTCATAGGTGCTTACAACAAGCCAAAGCAAGCTTACCACTAAGCATAACTTTCCAAAGGCTCCCTCAACATCTGTGCACCAGACAAAAACACCCCTCTGTTGTGCTTGTGGTGGTGATGAATCTTGCATTAGGCTCTGGAGCTATATTATGCCTTTGCATTTGACATTCCCATGTGCTTTTTTCAAACTACAGAAGACTAATTCTCATATATTTGCTAATTAAGAAGTAGCCATGTAAATGAAGATGACGAATGGATTAGTACTGCCATGTAAAACTTACAAAGCAAACATTCCTCAAACATTTCTTATTTTGAAAGAGTAAAATACAGACACCAGAAGATATACCAGATATATTTCCAGCCCTAGTACGTGGAAGTGAAAAACAAAGGTTGCTTTGTACCTTTATGCAATGTAAGGTACATTCATTAAAAATGACTGCATGGTCATCATATCTCCATGTGAACCAGACATTTATTACTGCAATACATACCTGAACCAATATTTTCCTATGAAGTACTAAATTGATTTAAGGACATCTTACATTTTCAGAAGGCATGACTGATCACCAAGTAAACCAAAATCCCAAGCTGAAAGATCACCTGTTGAGGCAAGCTCACAGCAGTAATGCTTCCTGGTGTCACTCACCTCTCTTCCAGGAAAGAAAAAGTGCAGGAGTGCACTAGAAAGATTGCACAGAGCCAGGAGAGGACGGCAGCCTGGCCAGCCTGGATACAGCGTGATGTGAGCCGGACAGCCACAGCCTGAGTTACCGAGCCCCTTGTATTGCACTTCCAACTTCCCCTCCCTCCTGATTAGTGACATTTTGTTTTGCCATTCTGCAAGAGAATTCTTTCTAGAAAGTTATCCCCACTTTCATTTCTTTCTACCTCAGTTTAAAAAGTTTTTTTAAAAAAAGCAAAAATATCCATTCTTTTTCACTAACGAAATTCCTATAATCATATAGTATGCTTCTCTAAGAAGGTTGTCACACACATTTTTTTCTTGAAATCCTAAAGCCCTACCACCTTTACCTGGGGAAAGAATACACAAGCCTAATGTTGCAATTTAAACACAGGTATGTTATTAGTTTTTGGCTTCCCTTCTTTCAAGTCTCTGCCATTGGAGTTGCTTAGAGCTACACAGGAAYTCGGATGCATAATAGTCTCCCTTCCAGCCACCAAAATACCCCCAAACCTTGCCCATGGTCATTACCACAGCTCTTTAGATCCAGACAGTTTTCAGACTTTGCTGACTATAAACAATAAATAAATAAAGCAAGCCAGGGATGATAAAGGGGTTTCCATAAGCTGTTACCAAATCAACCTTAATGATTTGATTGCAAGTATCACCTTGTCTCAGTTCAAGGAAGTTGCAGCATTTAGCTAATTTCTGGGTAAACCCATCACTCTTCTGATTTGGTCCCATATCAGTGATATGTCATCATCCCTCTCCCTGGTCTAAGACACCTTAGCTAAAATCAACTATTTCTACAAAGCTGTATACACGAACAGATCTTTTCAGAAACAAATATTTCCTCTCACTGCCTCTGTACAGTTTAGGTGCATGAATGATGTGAATTTTTACCCCCATGTTAAAACTTAAATGTTCGGTCCTAGGGAAAGAGGCCTGGATTTGCATCAGCAGTGCAGATACAATAAACTTRCTTTTAATGCATAAAGTCCTGTGTAAAACTGTCCCAAGGAAATGCAAARATTGTAAATAAAAGCTAAAACATAGGAAAACAGTGTTCACTGAGAAGGGAGTGAGTCCAAGGGAAACTGAATAAAGGGGAAAAGAGAGRCAACTGAATTTCTAATATTGACGATGATAACACAGAAAAATGTTGAATCAGCCCAGAAGGAAAATCCCTTTCTATTAAACAAAGTGCTGTTTTTCAAACTCAGCTCAGTCTGAGCCCAAAGAGGATGGTTACCAGAGAAAACTGAAAGCAATTTGACGAAACCGAGATCTTCTGTGGAAAAAAATCCTTTTTGCAGAAATGTCCTTTTCACTGATGTGCTTTATCATCTTGTACTGAAGACTCCCTGCTGGCTCTCCTTTGCCATGCCTGGCACACAGCAGTGTTATAGACAGCCAGCACAGTGGCTTCCTTGAGCTCAAAGGGAAGAGTGCTGTCTTCTGGAGCCAAAATTTGACTTTTATTCTTAGAACTTCCTCCATATGTATATAACCCTTACTTTAAAATTGTGTGCTTCACAAGCATTTTATCCCGGAATGTTCCAAGACAAACAGAAAGAAATAGTCCACAAATACCTTACAATGGAAGAATTTGTTATGCTAAAAATATTTATAAAACTTCTAAGGAACCCAAGAAGAGATGGGAAAAGATCTGACTGGTTGTCAACAAATACGTGAAAGTTGAAGGTGAAAAATTGTGGAGTAARTCCTGGAAACTTACTCACACTACTGAACATCTCCTAGCTGCGAGAAGACACACCAGTTGCAGGCTGTTCTAAAGTGTATTTTCATAGAGGATGGCTGGGCTGGTTTTATGTTGGGAAGATTCCTGCAGTAGGTTTTACAGCTCTCTTGTTTTTATGAACTTGAGCTGCTCATGTCGTTTCAGCAGAGCTGCCTCAGGAGCTGCTGAGAAACTGCTGCTTGCAGTTGGAACCCGTATTGCTGGCGAGCAGCTACAGGCTCGGAAGGGATATTTCATCTTTTGAAAGGAAGTAACTAATGAAACCAACAGTCCAGCAAACTCCTGTGTAAACAAACACACCAGGAGCAAAACACACAAAAGCAGCTAGACAGAACTGTTGTTGCACAAATTCAATGAGCTTGACTTCGGAAAATGTCACTTAGAAAACTGATACTTACGGCTATTACAGAACATTTGTTTTGTTAAAACTGCAAGAACAAAAGCGAGGGACATGATCTTTTCCTTTGCCTTGTCTTCATTTTCAAACTTCTCCCCTTAATCATTTAATTGATTAGACAACAGTTTGGAAGATAAACAAAAATAATTGGATTATTCCAGAAGCTGGTCTTCACAAGAGAACAGCATATGCAACAGTGCATTTATTCTTACCTTGTCTATCATGTCAGGCCTGTTGGTAGCTGCCAAAATAGTCACATCCTTTAGCTGTTCTATCCCATCCATTTCCGTTAATAACTGAGCCAAGACACGGTCTGCTACGTTGCCAGCACCTGAAGAGCTAATTTCAAAAAACAAAAAAAAAAAAGTCAAAAAAAAGTCACAGACTGCTCAATTTTATCATGATCTTGATCTGCCTTTTTTTTTTTTTTTATTCTTTCTGATGTTTCGTTTTACTTTCAATAGCTATAGATAAATTAATATCACTTACACATAGCAAGTAACGCTGTGTTGCTCAGCAAGTCCTTCAAACGGAGCTTGTTACCTACTGTCCTGCTATGGAGGTTGTGAGGACTGTAACACAATATAGTTGTCTGGAATAGACATTTGTCGGATGGTAAAAACGGAATTCATGTAGCTTCTCACTAGCCAGGCAAACATCAGTTTTTATCACCATCCAAGCGAATGCTTACTCCAACTCAGTGTAAAAAAATAAGTCTATGTATTTTGCAGAGTTACTCTAAACTCTTAGGTTCTCCCCATCAAATGGGAATGAATTGAGTATTGACCAGCTTCCCCATGATAGCATTGTCAGGCCCTCTAACTCAGCTCATTTTCCAGATATAAGGATTTAAAAAAAAAAAAAAAAAAAAAAAAAAAAAAAAAAGATAGAGGAATATTCTTTTTTTTTTTTTTTCATTTGGAACTAACTCTGGCAATCTTGAATCTATGCGAGATGAAATTTATGAAAATTGCTTAAATATATATAACAGAATTATTATGGAAATAAATGCTATTATTTTCATTAAAGCTTATAATATTTTAAAAAGAATAACCAAGTAACATGCCACCTTCTTCTTAGACAATTATTTGTAAATGTGTAAATATACATATATGTCCATACACATGTATACAAAGCCTCTTCTGTTCTGTTTACACTGCATAAAGCAAGATATTTTGCAATAAATAATAAATCTGACTGAACAGTTGTACTCTTTAAACTCCAAGATCCTTTTTAAACTGTGCCATCTTAAATGTGCATGAAATAGGCTTTATTTCAGAAGCATCAAAACAAATAAGTATCTATGCGCCATATGGTTTTCTTACTTTTCAAAAGCTCTAGGAAACATTAGGACTGTACAGAAATAATGCATATACACAGACACACTGTAGAGATTATGCAGATAAGCTCCTAAGAGCATCCAGCTCCATATCTACATACACACACATGAAACTGCAAGGAAATACTGTTTTACAACCGTGTGACTTCCTTCCTTAACGAGAGGATTAGTTGTAATAAACGTCACTATTCCTGTAACTGGAAGGTAAAAAAAAAAAGGGCGACACTTAACACCTGGAAAAGAAAAAAGTAGAGATGTCCTGTCACTAAAATTTTATTTTTAAACCCTACCTGGGAACCTGCCGCAGTGTCCCTGCTGGCAACTCGGGCGTTGAGGCCTGGCGAGCAGGCTCGGGCGTGCGGAAGGCGGCAGCGAGCGGCCTGTTCCCAAAGCTCCCTCTGCTGAACAAGGGCAGCAACTGAAGCGGAGCTGTTGAAGCAGGTAGGTGGAAAGCAGCTGGTGGGTTGCCAAATAACGTGGAAAATGCAATTTTTACTCAACTTAATCCAAAAAGACGAGGTCTGCTCTTTTCTACATGGTCTTCCCTTGGAAAAGACCAAATAAAAGGTACAGTATASGCCTTCCTTCTTGGAAGGGACTGATCTTCAAGGGCTATTCCGCTCTCCCTGGGCCACTTCATGTCTCTACCTTTAAACAGCATTGAAAAGTGTCTCTCTAATCAAAACAAACTCTCCCTGATTCCTCAAACTCCCTAGAGCATCACGCTAAGTAGCAAAGTGTGATACTATAATGAAGCTGGGGTTTTTTTTCTTCAACATACATTTATTCTATTGCCATCCCTATATAGACAGAATCAAAATAATTTCCACCTCAAAATGTTTTGAAAGTACTTTTTCTAAAGTATTTATAAGCATTTACAAAGACATACAGGCACCTCCATGCACAAACACAACACAATTGTACAGCCAAACCTCACTCTCCAAAAAGCCATTCCGATTTCCACACATAAACACTCTGTTTCCAATAGGTGTAACACAGAATATGCACATATAGCTGCATATAGTTATTACTGCAGCAGTGCCATACACCTTCCACATGCCTCTGAGCCACAGTTGCTGAACGTCTCAGAGCCAAAGCAGCTTAATGACACCACATTCGCCCTACTTAAGTTCTCTCGCTTTCCTTTGCCACGACTGTTCCCGTAATTTTCCAGTACAAAACAGTTAACTTATCAGACCTAATCTGAAAAACATCCTTGAGGAGCTATAACAAACGCTGGCTCACAGAATATTCAGGTTGCTAAGACATAGCAGAAAGGCGACTCGGGTTAGCAGTTGTCAGCTTTTTGGTTTGCTGCAGCCTGTTAGAAACTCCCAGGAGATGTTTGGGCTTTCCTAACATACCCCTGGGTCACAGCCCCGCTGACCTGTAGCGGGCTGAGCATGATAAAACACTCGAGGTGTTGCACAACGATAGGAAATGCTTCTCCAAGAGCAGGGAACTTAGAGGAAATTAAAATCAACTTCGTAACATAAGCTGGCCCCAGTAGGGATTCAGGCCTCCCGTCTCGCATAACTTTCACATTTATTCAACTTTATACCCAATGGACCGCACACAGGAAAAAGCTAAGCAAAGAACAAATAATTGTATTATTGGGACCAAAATGTTAAATTCACATAAGATGATGTGAAACTACAAAAGTCTGGGAAAGACAATAAGCTTTTGTTGTTGTTGAAGTAAACAGAGAAGAAATATTTGCTTTTAAAAGAAGTGGCTAGAAAGGAAACTTCAACTTTCCCAATAAAAACATTTCTCTTACAAGCTTCAGACAACAAGAGAGTTTATCCCAAACAAAACCCCACTGTTACTGGGCGACTTACACTGCAAAGGCATTCAGATTTCCCAGTTAGGCTGTAATGAGACACCTTTCATTCAAGGAAGGAGACACCAATGCAAAAGAAGRGCGTTACTATTATCTGTTACAAGTGGAATAAAAAGTTTTTAAAAACATACAAGCAAAAAAAACTATCACTAACAACAATACCTGCAAATGGCAGAATTTAGTGCTTTTAGGTACACAGCKCTCTGTATGTAGCAGAGCCGTGGGTGCAGCAGGGACCCTATGGAATTGGCGGCGGGCGCCCACGCTGCCAGCRGCTGGATGCTGTGGCCGGGCTGCCCCGCGCGCCCCAGCGCTGTCCCAGATCCTCATCGGAAGCGCAACACGCAGAGATGTATTCATCCCTTTCCCCATGATTTCCCAGCAAGGGGTTCACCTTAACACCAGCCACGTTCGTTAAGGCTGCCTGGGCTTCTGACGCAAACAGCAGGCACAGAAACGAATCGTGATGAACCCTGCAGCCCCACGCAYGCGCTGCCAAACCCAACTTGCAGCCAAGCAGCCGCCTCTCGCCCCGCTCTACCTGACCTCCACACATTGATGTCATCACCACAACTGCTCGGCAAGGGCTCTCAGAAGGCACGTCCTGGTACAAACTAATTTCCTGTCAACACACTGGCTGCAAATCAAGGCGCTCAGAATTAAGGATCTTACATAATCCGACCAGGGCCATGTGTGCTTGGGTGTGCATATATGCAGGAGCCGGGCCCTGACCAGAAATACCTTCTGCTTCAAAATAAAAAATGTGTGAGGAAAGAGGAACCTGGCTGCTTCAGAAGGCCTGAGAATTTCAAGCAATCTCTCATGCTGCTGTAATGAAATACATCAATCAGTAGGGCTACGCGCTGTTCTAATCTTTCTGCCAACTCTGCTTTTCTTAAAAATGAAGCATTTTCAAGGGCTGCATTTGCTTCCTAGTTTATCCTCTCGGTTGGAGCCAGACACGCTCCCTGCCAGGAGGCTCCCGCCAGCCCCTGGGGCGCCCGTGGGCCCCGGCACGGCACGGCGCGCGCTCCCGCGGCGCCCGCCCGGCGGAGCCGCCTCCCGGACCGCAGAGCCGCTCCGCTGCGACCTGTCGCCAACCAAAGCGGGCTGTGCTGGGGGAAACGGAGCTCCGCATCCCTGCTCAGGGCTATTCTCCCTTACAGGCACTTCCCGGGCACACTTGGAYGTGAGAAAACAGTGCGCCTTAATGTGAATTAATTCTACGCTCACCTCGCGGAGCTGCGAGACGCGGAGCACCAGCTCAAAACCCAACACGGAGAAGGCCATTGGGATGCCCTTCCTCTTTCTCATCTCCCCAGCCTCACTCAGCGCTCATTGCAACCACCCATTTCCCCRGGCACTGACCTTCGCATGTGCACATCTTGAACAAGCCTCTCCCAATTTTTCTTGGGAAGATCTTTGCGTTCAGATACATTCAACTACTGGATTTAAACGTCACCTTTCTGGCCATAGGCAGCTTTACAGCACCARATTTCTTTTGTACCTTTTCACTTGTTCAGCTTCCTTTTCTTCTTTTTCTTCTTGCTATTTGACAGATTTTTTTTTTAATATTTGAAAATCAAAATGTTGGAGAATGCAACGTGCTCACTACTAACCTCACACTGAAATCTGGTAAACTCACACAAGAGGTACACTTGCATCTTCTGAATAACTAAAACATTCCTAGAGCTGGAGAAATGCATACTTTTCCAGACCATTTCATGTCATTCTGGTCAGGAAATCTACTCAAACCCCTACCTTCATTTGAACCCTATAGAGGAGGGCCTGCAACCCTCCATAACTCCACTGACTCCATGGGCACTGAAGCCCAACGGAAAACCTTAGCTGCAGAATGAGGGCCTTAATTTCATCAGGTTGTTAAATTGTTCATGCAGAAACACAAAACACTCACACAGCAACATTCAGAGCACGCTTACAGACACAGCAACTACATAGCTGCAGAGCAAGCATGGCAGGGCCACCCTCGGGAGGAGCCCCCTTTCTGCCCAGACAACCTGCCCTCCGACAGGTCYATCAGGTGGAGGGGCAGATCTCACGAGCCATATATGAGATATATGCCCTGTATACGTTACTACAGTGGTGTTAAGCCACACACCTGAGCTCTTTTGCAAAGCTTTTCTGAGCAGAGTGTAT